ATAATATATTGATGGATGACAGTAATGTTTTCTAGTAATAATTCTTACGGCTCTTTTGTGTAAATTGAAAATAGGATTTGTGATTGTTTTACATGCTTTACCCCAGACTTCAGTACAGTAAATCAAGTGTGGAACAATTATTGTACTATACAATATAAATAGTGCTTTATCATTGAATAAGTCCTTTACTTTGTACAGTACTGCAATAGATTTAGCTATTTTTGTTGTGATTTATATGAGGTTTTCATGTCAGCTTTTCATCAATGATAATGCCCAAAAACTTCACTTCAATGACTCTACAAATCTCAACACCATCAACTCTAAATGGAACATCAGTAGTTTTCTTTATATTACTGAATATCATGTAATTAGTTTTTATCAAAATTTAATGTCAATTTATTAAGTTTAAACCAGGTTTGTATTTTAACAAATTCTGTCTGCATCATTTCCAACATCTGTTCTATATCAATTCAATTCAAATTCAAATTCAAAATACTTTATAATTCCCAGAGGGAAATTAGGTATCTTTACCCAAAAAAAACGTAGCGTCATCAGCAAAACACAACACTTTTAAACAACCCTGATACATTTAGCAAATCATTTACATACAAAATAAACAACTTTGGTTTCACAGATATTTAGATAAAATCTGGTGTGGAGGTAGTTGTCAAGTCAAGCCAGCTTTATTTATATAGGGCATTCAAAACAACTGCCAAAGAGCTTCACATATTACAACTAATAAAAAGACAAAACAGGATACAAAGATAGATCTGGGTGTCATCTGCGTAGGAATGAAAAAGGATGTCAAATTTTCGAAAAATGGAGCCTAAGGTGCACTTTTCTATGGAAAACTAAATGGGACTGAGAATGGATCCCTGGGGAACTCCACATGTGAGTGGGGCTGAGGTAGAAACAGAATTTCCAAGGCTCTCAGAAGAACTGCTGTTAACCTGTCTGGCTGAGAGTTTTCCACAACATCGAGCACAAACAGAACACACCGAAGCAGCTGAAGTAGTAAAAACTAAAAGGAGCTTGATGGTGAGAGACGGGAGCGTGAACCAACCTTCTCTGTACTTGTAGGCATCAGTGAGGTCCATCCTCTTGTTAGAAACGACAGACTTGGTGGAGATGTTCTGGCCAACTGTCTTGGTGTCCATGAAAATTTTCTCTTTGGTGCCGTCACTTTTTACCTGACCGAACAAATGACAACTAGAAACTCAAAAGGTGGATTAAAAACATGAAGTGCCTCTTTTTATTTTAAAGATAAAGGCCTTGGTCATTCTGATGAGGTCATAGCTCCGCCCACTAACCAGCCAGTGAACGCAGTCGGCGTTGACCTCGGCAAAGACAAATGGCACATCGTATTTGAGGTAAGTATCTCCGTTGTGGATGGCTGAAACTGGAGCTGGACCACAGCAGAACATACCTGCAGACAAAACAAACCAGAACTCTCAGTTTTTCAGTTCATTCTTAATGAACTTCAAACAAAAATATGACTTTGAAGGAGACATATGTTGCTTTAAAATCCTACTTTAAATTCCTTCTTTGCTGAGCTCATGGACAAAGACCCAAACAGTATTTTGTGTATTTTATTGCAGGCGCCGGGGTGGGACGACTCCACAATTTTGTTGCACTCTTGTACGAAGTGTGTGTAATTGACAATAAAGATTATCTTAACTTACCATGAGCCCCACTTTCACCCTTTTTCTGAACGGTCTCAGATCAACTCATTTTGAGGCTGTCTCTTTAAATCCAAATGAGGCACTTGACACCATAACAGGAAATACATACAGCCGTGGAATAAACTAAGAGACCACTTTAAAATAACCGGTTTCTATGATTTTACTCTTTCTAGGTATTTTTGAATGAAATGTCTGAAATATAACCATAAAACAAAATTTTGAAGCACATTTTTGAGCAGTAGCAATTAAAAAAAACTGATTTTGAGGAAAAGGACCTTAAAATTTAGAGATTTTCCATGTGAGCTAGAAATGTTTTGATTCTTTTCAGCTGGGAAATCTCAATATTCAAATATAATTTGAGGTTTCCTCTTTATAAGGACATCAAAATTCCTCATTAAAATTACATAAAATTAGGATTCAGACCAAATATTTATGTATAATCATTTCGAACAAGACAAATCAAATCATATAAATGGATTTACTTATGATATCAGAATGATTCAGGTATCAGAATTTAGCATTTAAAGCCAGGAATCTGAAAATGTGATTAGGTTATTTTGACCAAATTTGACTTAATCCTCATTTCCATAAGATGGGTCATAAATATTGAACAGAAAACAAGTTCATATTTATTTAGAAACAACCATGCTAATGTTTTAACTCAGGAAGTAGTGATGTAATGTAAACAACAACAACGATGGGACAGGTCTGTTGGTACCTTCACTTTTCTCCTGTGGAGTTGGATCCAGAACCTGCCAACCATCATATTTGTCATTTTTTGACAGGTCTGGTCTCTTCATCCAGCCCTCGACCCAGACGTGGAAGTTCCTTAAAACAACATTCAGACTACAAGTGTGAGAAGATGGAGATTTATATCTATAAGTCTGTAACTCTGGTAATAATGTGACACATCAGTAAGTCAAACAGAAGCAGAATGAAAACAGATCAACCCTCTGAGAAAACAAATAAAGAAATAAAACATGCATTAAGTTCTATCGTTCCTCAGTTTGTTCATCTTTAAAGTAAAACATCAGAGCTTCTCACCAGACACTGTCATTGGATTTTTTCTCTCGAACACCATAATCTGCATAGTAGGTGTCCACGATCAGGTTCTTGTTGGTGTCGTGAGCAGATTGGAAGTTGGTAACAACACGGCAGGGGATTCCCAGCAGGCGCATCACTACAAATCAAACACAAAGAGATAAAACTCTGTGTGACCAAAGATGTGACGAGATGAAAGGAAGAGGGGAGGTCTCTGGGGTTCAGGGTGGATGTTGGAAAAGCTTTGACCGACCTAGATTTTATTAAACATAAGGATTAAAGGAGCCCAAAGGAAAGGAAGGTCGTGACGATTCAGTTCGTCAGAGCAGTGAGTTGCTTTTATAGTGTAGGGCGTCGCTAGGAATACTTTGTTTTCTTTCTATATTTTAAAATTCCACTAAAAAGAAAACTAAAGCCTTATGTCTAAAACAACAAAACTAAAATCGTTGATCTCAATGTGTTTACTCAATAACCATCTCAACCCAGATCCACTCAGAAACTGCTGCTAAAGGTCTAAAGGATCTGAAGCTACCTGAACACATGACGCCAGCAAACACCCAGCACTGTCCGAATTTAACCGGCCTGTAGGAAGACTTGTGCCACTTTTTAAGAATGGCGTAGCTGCCGCTCCATTGAGTGGGTGGTACGCCGCTGCTGAAGTCACTGGTCCAATTCCCCTGGAGGACGCCGCCTTTGTTACAACAGTTAATCTGGAACGAAAGAAGAGTTTTTACTTTGTTATCTTCCAACATATATGTGAGAATGAAAATATAAAAGCAGATCCAAGAGTGATTGCACTAAACATCATGGATCACAACACTGTAGAGTCAAAGGTCAAAAATGTTAAAAAGTGAAGGAATACCATGGAGCTGACCACACGACTGATGTAGATGGGGTTACAGCGAGCTGAGACATCATCAGCTGGGTCACGCAGATGTTTGACGTTCAGGTCGAGTACCTTCAAACAAATTTCCACCATGTCTTCTTCAAACTGGACAGGAAGAAAGTGGACATTTTAACATTTTTATTCATAGAAATCAAGGTCCTCTGGACGGGTTCTACTTTAATGAAACGTTTCATCTCTCCTCCAAGAGACCTTCAGTCTGAGGAGTTTCAGGTGAACTCAGCTTTATAAGCTTTGCCTCCACCTGGTGGACAAACAGGTTAGTCACAAAGGTTTCATTAGAACACCGTTCAAAGGACCTACTCATTTTTTTCTGTCCTGTTTTATTTAATTTATTTTTCAAACACAGTAGTGGTGGAGCACTGATTGCTGACGCTGCTTCTCTGCCTTCATGCAGTAGTTGCAAATTGCAGCCATTAGAATAACGTTTGTCAATTTTTTATTTTTTAAAATTTGACATTGTGTGTGTGTTAATACAAAGGAATCTGGCTATGAATGGGTAACTAAATGATGAAAAGTTTGGCCTTTATTGACCAAAGTTTCAAAAATTTAAATGTTTAGTATCTGCAACATGATCATTATTACATGTGTATTGATTAAAATGAACATAAACATTGGTTTGTGACTGTTAATTACAGTACATAATAATACATTATCATTTCTAAAAAGAGCAAACACAGCACTTTGTAATAATTGCAGCAAAATGCAATAATGTTATTACATAATGCAGCTGACAGCAACAAATACGTGCTGCTTTGAACAAAGGTCAAGTAACTGGTGCTGTATATATTGATTTTCGTAAAGCGTTTGACACAGTTGATCATTATACTCTCTTACAAAAGTTGATTTCTTTTCAACTTTCATCATCTGCAATACAAATGTTTTCCTCTTATTTGACTGATAGGTGTCAGGTTGTGAAACATGGAAGCTCTGTGTCCGGGTCTCTGCCCTGTTCCTTGGGAGTTCCACAGGGTAGCATACTGGGCCCATTGCTTTTCCTATTATACATAAATGACCTTCCAAAAATATTGAAGTATTCAAATATTTTAATGTATGCTGATGATACTGTTCTTTTTTGTCTGATTTCAATATTGAATCTATTAATAGTCAGTTACAAGCAGATCTTCAGACATTTTATGGTTGGTTTCAAGATAATCTTTTGTCAGTTAATGTTAAAAAAACTGTGTGCATGTATTTTTCCTCACCCAGGAGACATTTCAATATAACAAATCAACTCACTTTTTTAAACAAACCCCTTGATATTGTCACTACCTACAAATATCTTGGAATTACTTTGGATTCTCATTTGACTTATCGTGATCATGTACAAGTCTTAACCAGTAAGTTGAAACAGAAATTATATGTTTATTCAAAAATTAGATCCAATCTGACATCTTCTGTTTCAAATATCTATCTTCATGCCATTATACTCTCAACCATGTCGTACTGTTTACCTGTTTGGTCTCTTACAACAAATGAAATCTTAGAACCCATAGTTAGGCTCTACAACAGGGCATACAAAATTCATAAAAAACTTCCTGGTTGGACTCATCACTGTACAGTTCTTTCATTGCCTTGACTTTTCAGAATTATGTTTTGTATAGTGGTATTAATTTATATTTTCAGATCTTCCAAGG